ATTTATTTTTATTTTTATTTTTTTGAGTATTCATCTTTTACAAAACCAGAATTTCAACCTTCTTGGCAAAAAGGAAAATACACTTCTGGGAAATATTTTTTAATACAGCTATGTCTTGACAAAAGTACATATGGACATGTCTCTAAAAGTAGTTAATAATACATAAGCTGCAATAGGTCTTGGAAGTTGTGATCAAGTTGATAAAGTGACATGAAAAAAGAAAGTAAAATAAAAAGTCTAGGAAACAAGGGTCTTCTCAAGTTGAACAATCTATGTAGAAAAGAAGATAAAATATACTGATAAATGTATATAGTTAATTAGGAGCCCTGGTAGAACGTAGTGAGTTACATGTTTGGCTGTTAACTGCAAGGTCAGCAGTTCAAAACCAGCAGGTACTTCAAGGGAGAAAGATGAGGCTTTCTACTCCGGTAAAGAGTTCAGTCTCAGAAACCACATAGACAGTTCTCCTCTGTCCTATAGGGTCAATGTGAGTTGGAATCAACTTGATGGTAGTAAGTTTGTTTTTTGGTTTATATAAGCAATTAATTTCTAGTTAAGGTCAATTACCAAAGACAAAATTAATATTTTTTATATATAAAGTAACACTTTTAATTTAAATATTTTCTAAACTATTGCCAGCAATAAATATATTTTGTTTTTATATTTACTAAAGACTTCCTTCTAGGAGCTCTGGCAGCATAGTGGTTACATATTGGACTGCTAACTGCAAAGTCAGCAGCTCAAAACCACCAATCATCCCTCAAAAGAAAGATGAGAAAGTTATATAGTCTGGGAAACCAACAGGGACAGTTCTACTATGTCCTATAGGGTCAGTATGAGTCAGAATCAACTCAATGGCAGTGGGTTTGGTTTTTGGAAAAACTTCCTTGGAAAGGAAGCAGATTGTTTCAAATATTATATTTATTTTTATATAGACAGTCCTTGGGTTATGAACAAGATCCATTCCTAAGTATATTTTCTAAGTCAGATTTGTAGGTAAGTGGAAACAGGTGCGTACAATTCTTAACTTTTCTTTAATGGCCTAGTGGCTCTCTGAGTTAGGCACTGAGTTGTTAACCACAAGGTTGGCATCAAACCCACCAGCTGCTCTGAGGAAGGAAGATGAGGCTGTCTGTTCCCCATAAATATTTAGTCTGAGAAACGTGATAAAGGGTCTTTATGAGTCAGAATGGACTTGATGGCTGTGACAGGTAGGTTTATTGTGCCAACCTGGCCAATGGGAACATGTGGGATTAATCAGGTCGCAGTTTGATTGGAAGGCAAAGAGATAAATGGCTCTGCAAGGCCCATTGTGTGGCTCTCCCCAGCCCACCCCCACCCCTGGTGATCAGAGACTGCGTCCTGCTGCTGGAGGTAATTGTCTGCCTCAACCTGTGAAATATATTACCCGTGGGCCAGGCCAATCTGTGGATCATGTAGCTAGAGCTTGAGGCTCTTTGGAGGCCTGCTTTGCCAAGCTGCTGGTGGGTACATTGCTTGAACTCGAGGGTAGTAGATTCTGTCGCCTTACATTGCTTGCATTCTATATTCCATCCAGGACTGCTTTGCTAAACTCCCAAGCTACTGACTGTTGATGGCCCACCCTGCTGCCGGATGCCTGTGGGCAGATACTGCTTGCCTTGCCCCAAGGAGGACTCTGATGTCTGCTCCCTTGACCTTGGACCCAGCAGCCCACATGAGTTGAAGGACTTCCAGTATATTATCTGTTCCACAGAAGTGAATTGAACTGAACCCTCTGAACTGCTTTGTGGACTAATCAGATGTTATACTCCTCGCTGTATAAACCTATATAGTTATAAATAAATAAAATTATAAGTATCCTGGTTTCCTTTCTCTAGAGAACCCTGCCCAACACAATGGCAGGGCCAGAAAAGACTCAAAGTCTTTTGAATGATTTAAAATTTACCAGGGCATTTCTACCCTAGATCCTGAAAACAAACAAACAAATCCACTGCTGTTGATTCCAACATATAGCGACCCCATGTGTCTCACAGGGTTTCCAGGTTTGTTGTCTTTACAGAGCAGACCGCCAACTCTTTCCACCAAAGGAGCAACTCAAAACTCACTGCCATTGAATCAATTTTGACTCACAGTGACCCTACAAGACAGAGTAGAAGCTCGGTGGAAGTAGAAAGCCTCATCATTCTTCTTTGGATTAGTTGGTGGTTTTGAACTGCTGATCTGGTTAGAGCTCAGTCCAGGGCTCCTTCGTGGAATAGCTAGTGAGTTTAAACTGCTTATCTGTTCGTTAACAGCCAAACACTTTAACCACTGCACCAC